AGCGATGGCTGTATTCAAAGAACTCACACGCACAACCTCCAGCACTCTAACACCTGTCCTACACCGATGTGCTAATGAGACTAATTCACTGTAAGTGGATTGACTTTAAAGAACCTCGATTCGCCTTAAGATGTCTGAGCAGACTGAAACTAGATGTGTCCAGGTCACGCAGGTAATAGGCAGAGGAGTTTAGTATGCGTTATTAGTCTTTATTCATGTTGTTTATTTTAGCAGTACTAGTGTAATGTGAATCTTGCTTGCTTCTGTCCCTCAGACCGATGTATGCATCAAGTGTCTTACGGCCCAGACTCCCACCATCGCTTCCTTCCACCTTTCCTCCTCTTTCTTTTACCCATTCGCTACCTGCCTGATGCTTAGCTAACCTTTCTTCATCCTCCTCTGTGTGTATTAGCTGCCTTTGCTTAGAATCAGCCACTAATGCTCACACACAGAAACACATGATGTTGTGTCTGGAAGTGTTGTGACCTTTCGTCCATGAGGAGATCGGCTTAGGCAGCCGGTCAATCGCTTCACCCGTCAGTGTGACTGCATGATGCAGTTGTTTAACAGTGAAGCATCCAAACTGCTACTCTGAGAAACGGTGATTGGCTTTACATTTAACTTTGATACTTTTATTATACGGATATACTGTTGAAACATCATTTTTTAATTTTTGTTTTCTTTGATTGCTGTGTCAACATTCTGGTCTATTTAACGGCAGAGTGAAGAATGCCTTCTACAAGTTCCCAGATCTCAATGTGAGCGTTTCATAGCTTTGATCTGACCAACAGTACCAGATAAAGAGATTCAATTTACGAGGATTTAAAAAAGGGAAAAGACGTAAATTGTTGCATTTAAGAAGTTATCAACAATCAGTTTTGTCTTTTTCTTTTTTCTTTTCTTAGTGACTTAAATTGTTAATCTAGCATGTTGCGGGCGTTTCATCTTTCAATCGACTAATCATTTTATCACATTGTTTCTGAACCAAAACCAAATCTAGTTTTGTCACGCAGACAACCTGGACGCCAGGTTTGAAAACCTCTAGGTGAGCTTACTTATCTTCTCCTTTGATTAGTCGGGCAACCAACCAGCCGTCTACTCACTCACTGGGTTTGTTAACTTGTATTCTGTCCCATTACAGCCAAACACTCTGTTTCTACTGCTGCGCGCGCGTGTGTGTGTGTGTGTGTGTGTATGTGTGTGTGTGTGTTGTTATGTGGCCAGGCGACACATTCCTCTCCCTGTCGGTGAGCTGCTGTGTATGTGCTGGAACGTGGCACAGCCCTCCCCTCCATCCGCCTCCCCCTACCTCTATGCACCACCACCACCCGCCGCCCCTCCAGCTCCCAGAGCGCCAGTCACACAGCCCGTCTCCGCGCCATCTGCATATCAGCTCCAGCCTCGGCCAAAGCATTAAATTAAATCCCTGTTTGGGTTGATTAACAAATGGCTGGTGAGCTCACATAGTTATGCCGTTATTTATTTATTTCGCCATCAAGGCTTTCCGTTTTTTTCGTATGCTTCGTTCTCTCGCTGAAGCGCGGCGTCCGTTAGCGCGGGAGAGCAGGGGTGTGCTGGTGTCCTGGAGGAGCGAGACCGACAGGCTGGAAAGTTTGTCTCATTTCGGTTTTGCTGGCTGACGTTCAGCCTCACCGTTTGTACCTGTTGGCTATTTTTTCTCTGCATTTAATCTCATTCTCTCCCTTTCGTCCCCCTGTCCTGAAATAAATAGTTAATCAGTGCACTAATTGAGTGACAGTCGGTACGTGCGTTGTTTTAATTGTCCAATCAGAAAGCTTGGAACGGGCAGAGTCACAGCTGATTCATCTCTGCCTCTTACTCCTAAATCCACAAGCTGCAACTGTGAAACGTGTGCCAGCAAGATTCATTTCTTCTAGAAACTCCAAAATAACTTTTTGGAGTCTAATTCGGTTTTTAATCCTTAATTCGTAGCTCGTACCAAAGAAACGGAAAACAAAAGGTTACGGGTGGAGATTTGGAGAAAGTTAGCAGACTCCACTCATAGGTAATCTTTGTATCTAGTTGCTGAATAGTTTTGACTTTGTTGAATCTTTGTCAATGTTTATTGAACACGTTATTACAACATTAAAAGAAAAGGGAACAGAAGGAGTTAAGAGAAGTATGCATCCAATTAAGGCATCAAGTTAGATGGCTGTATAAGAAAACCTCCTGCGTTACTCAGATCTTCTAGCTCACCCACGTTGTCCCGTATTACTGATATATCCTGACGTTCCACAAAGAAACAGCAGAGTCCTGTTTTCTTAAGCACTGCACAGTGTATTATTTGCTAATTGGCCTTGAGGGAAAAGTAAAGTTTGCGTAGAGAAACTAAACCAAACTGAGACAAGGAGTCCGAGAGAGATGGTGTGGGAAGGAGACCGGCTGTTCGGTTTTCTCCAGCAGTCCAAACCAGAGACATGTGGCTCCCCAGACAAGCTGTCCAGAGTGGGAGAGCTCGCTGGACTCATTACAGGCAGGGCCAAGACGGGATAGCTTGACAGAACACCATTGGATCATTTGGAGGATTGGAACAGTCGATACAGAATTGTGTTGGTTTGTGTGCGTGCGCGCGCGTTTGGAACGGCATGTGTGGACAACTGTCCATTTCCGCTTTCCGTCTGTGCCACCCCTGGCTGCCCCCCCCCCCCACCCAGTGGACGTGCACACACGCCCTCACGCACGTAGACGCTGTCCCGGCCAGAAGGATTGCTTAAATGTTTTCAGTTGTACTGGACAGCTGAGCGATGAAGTGTCCAACTTCCATTGGACACTTCATCAGGAAACTCTCTGCCAGTTCATAATAGTTTTATCAGTTTCACTTTCTGTTAATCCTCATATTTTGTCAGTAAGCACATCTCTTTTTCCTGTCCACTGTGAAGGTAACCTGGCTTCCTTATTTACAGGGTATTTTATGTGAACACTATAATAGAAAATCTAATCAAGTTCCCCAACACCACAAACTACAACCTCTTCAAATCATGACCTTTCTTACGCGGCCTCTTAAAAAAAAAGGCAAAATTACATCACTATCACGAAGAAGTCTTTTTAAATGCAGACTTTCTAAATAAACGGTAACATTTACTGTCAGCTTCAAAATACACGATATGGTACCAATAATGCACATCAAAATGCAACCCTGATCCAGAGTTATATTTGCTATTGGTTTGGTTTATGACACTATGACGCCATTATTATTATTATTATTAGGTATGATTTGTATGATTTTTCCCTTTTGAACTTACTTACAACCTCATTCCTTCCATCCTTTTTTTTCTTTTCTGTGATACATTTGTTCACTATGCCTCTCGCTCTCCATGTTCCCATTCAGCTCCTCCAACATTACTCCGCCTTTCAGTAGAAGTGATTCAAAGAAGATACTACAGAAGAAGGAGATCGGAGAGGGAATAGAGACTTAGAGAGGAAAGGAGAGGTGTGATTGGTAATCTTGATGACGCACTGGCACACAAAAGCATTTTCTTATTCTTCTCAGCCACAAATCACACACCCACACGCATACACACGCACACCTCCACCTCCACTGCTAGCAGCACCCAAAGGTACCGGCAGGCCCACAGTCGCACGGTGCCTTTGACGGAGCAGGTGGTTTTCTGCGACGTGTTAACGAGCGCGGCCGGCTGTCATTTCCTCTTCATATGGATGTCACAAATAGAACACACACACTAACACACACACACACACCTACACACACTTATCCTAAAGAAGGTGAACAGAGCTGCTGTGTGTATGTGTTTCTGTCAAGACTGTGCGCGTGCGTGCACATATGCAACTGTAACTGTGTTTGTTTGTGTGTGCATGCAGGAATTGCTGGTTAATTAAAAGGAGCCGAGAGGTAGAGGACATTGGTTTGCTTCTGCGTTTTTATTTTTTTATTTCTGTTGTTGATGAGATGAGAACGCGACATGTTTACACAGCTCGCGGCTTTGGAAAGTCTTGAGATGGTCGGTTCCCTTCGTCAGAGCATTGTGCACCTCAGTATTACTTCAGCTGTGTACTCTGCGTGTGCGCCCAGTTTCATCCTTGTACATTACACGCACTCATTGTACACTCATTCAGCTACGTGTGAACCCACACACGTGTGCACGTTAATCCAAGTGTTATCCGCCTCTGCGGTGTGGAAATGTTTGACACTGGTGTAATCCTGCAGTGGGTCATCTCATAAAGCTGCGTGGTCACCTTAGTGCCAGTGTGTGCCAGCCAGTTGGGTAATACTCTGCCACCAGCTGCTCACCAGATGTTGTTGTTTGTTGCTGCGGTGTCAGTGAGAAGGGTCATAATCTGTAATCCTATTTTATCTCTTCTCTGGTCTCATCTCATCCCTCTTCCCTTCTTCCTCCCTCGCTGCAAACCAGTGGTTTGTGTGTGTGCGTGTGTGTTTGTTTTGTGTGTAAGAGAAAGTGTGAATGCTATTTATAGTTTATACTTGTGTTCGTCCGTGTGTGTTTGGTAGAAAGGTCATCACCTCGACACCTGTCTATGTATCGGCCAGATGATTTTCCTGGCATGGATAGTTTGCTTGTTTCGCTGGTAAACATGTTTTTGTCATTTTTTACATGATAATCCGATCTGAATCTGGCAAGCACTGTGAGACACATAGATATACTGTGTGTGTGTGTGTGTGTGTGTGTGTGTGTGTGTGTGTGTGTGTGTGTGTGTGTGTGTGTGTGTGTGTGTGTGTGTGTGTGTGTGTGTGTGTGTGTGTGTGTGTGATGCCGTCTGGACAGATGAGAGTTGGGTGGACAGGCTCTCATCCGAGTATACAATCTGTATTTAAAATCATCATCATTAGTGCCATTAATACTTTCCACACACAATCATGATCCTCAAAATCCTCATTACCACAGAATGCACAATTGCCTTCACTACTCTCATCATCAGTGGTGTCCCCATTTGAAGCTGTCTGATTGAACATATTTGAATTAAATTTCCATTTTTATCTTCATGTCTATCCTTTCCTTTAGGTGAATACATAAAAAACTGGCGGCCGCGTTACTTTCTCTTGAAGACAGACGGCTCCTTCATCGGCTACAAAGAGAAACCTCAGGATGCAGACCTGCCCTACCCTCTTAACAACTTCTCCGTAGCAAGTATGCTGCCTATCACACATACGTGTGTGTGTGTGTGTGTGCACTGTGCTTCAACTGTATTGTACCTGGTTATTTACACAGATCCTCATTCCGTACTTCAGATTCCCATCTGATAAATGCAGCTTTTATATTGAAGAGGAACTCATTTCCACCTTGCTTTGTCTTTTTGCTTATATAAACTTCCATTTTAGTATCTTTGCTGTAAAAACACGGTAAAACCCAGTGAAATGTAAGCAGATTCACAGAGTGTCGGAGACTACTAGAAATATGTACCTGTATTTTATCCATATATGCTGCCCCCCAGAAATGCGCCACATTTCTTTGTAATCACATAATGAACAACTGTGATTATTCTGTGACACCTGCTGTAATGAACCACCGCGGGGAACATTTCACTTTAGAGCACAACTTCTCGTTACAGAATCAGCGTCTTGCTCTAGGACACTTCATTATGTCTGTACTGGCCTACATCCTGTAATTGATTATATTTTCATGTTTTTTTTAAATGCAAATCCCCTCTTCCTCTCCCTCTGAGATGATGCTTAAACAGTCTTTTTGCTCACTCAGAGCCACGGTGAGATTGTACAACAGTTATTGAGTCACTTTCATTTATGCCACAATGGAACATCTTGCCCGTCATCAGTCCTCACAGCGTTGGTATGCTTTATGGAATTCACAGAGGGCTCTAATTCACCATTTATCAGCATGTCATCTGTCTGCACCAGGTTAACAGGCTCCACAGCGTCTTCGACATATGTAATTAACCAGCTAATGAGTTAACAAGATTCATTTGAATGTCTCTGAGTCTCATTATCACCACCATCAACTCTCAAGGTTCATACAATACATGCAGATCGGCTGTTAAACTTGATGTCTGCGTTCATCATGAAAAAAAGTCTGACCTGCTACTAATTTATTCTACCAACTGGATGTTTTATTTATAAATGGCTCACCTCACTTGTACACATGCTAACATTAACAGCAATAAGGCTGGTCAACCTTTGTCGATTGGCGTTGTAGAACTCAATCTAGTTTCACGTGTTTATGTCTGAAGGAGATCGGGTTTTGTTTTATATTTATATTGTCCGGTCAAGCTGGTCATTGTTAAACTCAAATAATATCCAAGGAAGAATGATTAAGACTTGATATATCTGTAATAATGGTGGTTCAAAAGTTGTTCACCACATAACACACACAAACATAACCGGATAGGTGCAGAGCTGGTGTCAAACATCAAACACGAGGTTTGATGCGGATGTCAATTGATTTACTTACACATATCCATTTATTCATAGTTACCATTGTAACACTGCACAGTACCTTTCAATTTGGTCACACTTATAAATCACCATGGAAACTATGAAAACTGAATTTAGTCAATTAAATCTGTTGGAAATGTCTGCAGAACAGTGCAGTGAGAGTTGGTGATAGAAGGGACGATAGGGGAGGCAGAGCAGAGTACAGGAGAATACTGTAGGTGCAAGATGAGGGCAAAAACAGCAATGATGACAAATGGTATAATACATGCTGATACCTCAGAGAGAACAATAAAGAATGGTACATCAAAGGACGCAGGAGGAGAAAGAAAGATAGGAGTCCGGAGGGGAGGACAAGTGCGCGGTATGAGCGATGGGAGTTGATCGGAGGCGGCAGGACAAGAAGGAATTGGAGACACAGGATGGGGGAAGACGGAGGAGAGAGGACAGAGATGGGAGGATGATTATGGGGGAGAGCCACGGATGGGAGATGGAGAAAGGGATGAAGGGATTGGAGAGCGAGGCTTTTTTTTGGATGAAATATGGGGGGGAGGATCATCAGCGCTGAACAGACAGGGAGGAGGAGACGTAGGCAGGATTGGAGAAGGAGGAAAAAGCGGAGAGGAAAAGAGTTTGCGAGAAGGACAAGCCAGGCCATACATCCGGCCCCGGCTGCTTGGCACGGCACTGGCATTGCCACATCTGTTGCCCAAAGCTGGGAGGCCAGGTGGTGTGTGTGTGTGTTTGCGTGTGTGTGTGTGTGTGTGTGTGTGTGTGAACAACAGAAGTGGTCAGATGGAACAGAGATGGTAGAGGCCTGTTTCCTGCAGAGGGACTCATACATACAAGGCTGTCTCTTTCTCACACAGAAACGCACACAATGCTGCATGCACTATACACCCACTAAAGTGCTACACACATTTCACAATGGCCTGCTGTGGCAAACAACCCAATTTCAGCCAACGTTCAAACTTCAATATTAGTCTGACATGTGTGTTTGTCCATGCATGGGTTGTGAGTCTTTTTTGGCATCAACCGCAGCATGACCTTGTTTGCTGGCAGCACAGCAGGCCATGTTCAGGTACGAACCACTGTGTGTGTGTGTGTGTGTGTGTGTGTACGACCTGAGGAGTGTTGTCATTAACCTTCCTCTCTATATTTAGGCTGAGCCATGACGTGCTGCGCTGTGCGACACTTGAACAGAGCGTAATTGGAGGAAGGGATAGCCGAGGACAGAGCGGGAGGGGGGGAGAGAGGGTGATAAGAGAATGACAGAAGACGAGAGGAAAACGCAGGGTGATGTATGTAGAAGAAAGAAGAAGTGGGGGAGATGATCGCACAGGAGATGGCTCATTATGCTCTTTTACATCAGCTATTGTCCCCAATAAGCAGAGAGACTGCTGAGGGACAATGAAGATGCATTCCTTCCCACAGCGAGCTCACAGTCCCATCTGGCTTTGTGTGCGTACGTTTCTGCGCTTGTGTACTGTATTATGCATTTGTGTAATAATGGCCTACTGTATTGCCCATTTTCACAGAAATGTGTCCCTTCGGATATCATTTGCTGCAACACATAATATCCCATGGCACAGGCAAGCACCTTTTATTTGAATCGTCGGTGGCTGAAGTTATTTTTAAAATAAATTTAAAACCAGGTCTAATCTTTTCTCAATTGTGCAGTAAATAGCAACACGAGGTGTTTAAGTTCAAGAAGTTGCCCTATTAGCATCTCTATGGGTAAATATGAAACAGAAATAGTTATTGTAGTCCAACTAATAACGCTAAGGTGATGTGGTGTGTTTAGTACACTGTATTGCAAGTTTATTAACGTAGGATGGGATGAAGACCATGAGAAGTGAAATGAAAAAGATAAACAATAATTAAGATAATTAAAATAATTGAAAACTCCTTATGAGTCACACACACACACACACACACACACACACACATTCCCTTTACATACGTCTGGGTCAACAGAACGGTTACTTAACATGGTCAAAGTTGTGATTGTTATCAGCTCTTTAGTGGAGGAGCAAACTAAATGTTACTGACGGCAGATCTCAACCTGATTCGAGGTCCAGTTGGAAGCTCTTCGCTCCCTCCGGTGCGGTTTTCTTTCCCCCTGCGATCGTACTGACCGCACCGCGCTCTCCCTTTGGGCTGTCTGTTTTCAGAATGTCAGCTGATGAAGACGGAGAGGCCGAAGCCAAACACCTTCATCATACGCTGCCTCCAGTGGACCACAGTCATCGAGAGGACCTTCCACGTGGACTCGCCTGATGAGAGGTCAGTGACCCTGCAACAGTCCTTAGAGCGTCCTCCACTGATTCGTTGCTCAGTAAAAGAAAAGATGTTTTCCTTTTATGGCCTATGAAAAATCCAATCTTCTATGTCATGCAAAGTCCAGCTTTATTCAAGTTGTGGTGCTCTCATGTCGTTATTGAGTGCTTACGTTATTACCATTGACTGCCTGCTATTCATCTCACAGCAGCAGTTTGGATGAAAAAAGAAAAGTAAATAATAGAAATCTACATATTAAATAAATATTTGTATATAAAGGCTTACCAGGTAAACACAAAAGTCATACATGTATTTCAAAATATTTGAGGAGGCATTTCTGAAATCACAGTTTGGCAGTAGATGTTAAACTTAATTTCTGTTACGTATATAAATATTTATTTATTTATTTTGGGGGAAAGTAGTGTACCATCAAAGGCAGAGGTTTTCTGTGAGGTTTCTACTGTACTGAGAGATTGTTTCTTGTTTTTTTAGGTGTGTGCGTGTGTGTGTGTGTGTGAACGAGAGAGGGTAAAAGAGACAGAGTGGAAAGGAGACCTTTCAAGTAGTGTTGGCATAAATTCTCCAGCTGCTCAGTTCCTTTCTGAGGAGCTGAGGTGTTTATCTCCAGAAAATGAACAGCTTTGCCCAGAAGACCACAGATGCTTCTGTGCATCCTTTGAGTTTGTGCGTGTTTTAATGTGTGTGTGTGTGTGTGTGTTACAACTGTCTGTCCAACTTTGACTGTTTTTTGGGGTTTATAATAGTTTTTCCTCCAAATGATCAAATAAACATGGTAGTTAGCATGAAGCTAATAACTCTCTATATTTCACAAGGTCAAGTGCAGACCAGATGCATGTGGAAAAATTCAAGCTCCAGATGTGTGTTTGTTGTTTAAGTGTGTGCGCGCATGTGTGTGTGTGTGTGTGTGTGTGTGTGTGTGCAAGCATGCTCGCCACAACTGGGTGTCTGTGCTTCTCTCTCTCTCTTTCTGTGTGTGTGTGTGTGTGTGTGTGTGTCTCACTGTATTTGTTGTACTGTACAAGTGCTGGCAGGACTCCCAACTACCACAGCAGCAGCCGTGAGCGGAGGGTGGCACACGTTGGCATGGAGCCAAACTGTAGGCAGGCCCATTATCTCTCATTAGCAAAAAAAAAAAGCTCATTATACAAAAAACACGGTAACCAAGAGAGAGAGCATCTATCTGCGGCCCGACCTTGAGAGAGTTCTCGTTGCTTTTCATGGAGCCACACACACACTCACACACACACACACCACCCCATGGTTGCCACAAATTGTGTGCTCCACTGTTGCAGATGAAGTGTAACTTGAGTTTGCCCTTGTGTCTGAGTGTGTAGGGTACACTCGGAAATCTTTGCACTAGAAAGGGGTTTCAGATCTTAAAAACACTGCTCTGTTTAGGTTCGGATGGATGTTCTTCCAGATCCCTCAAGGAAACATATGGGCATCTTACTCCAAACAAAGCAAAAGACACAGGGGTGATTGTTTGGGAGTCAAACAGGTTTCATTATTATGATCTCGCGGATTAGCATATTTGAAAGAGCAAACTCAAAAATCCCTACTTGCTTCTCCTGAGCGCTGAGGATTTGTGAATTTGAATATGATCTCTGGTTCACCTCCATAAAGGCTCCTTGGTAGACGTAATTATTTTATCTACAGTTCCACAGGAGCAACACTGTTTTAGTCAAGATCAGTGGCGGGGAAAATCAAGACAGCATTTCTGTCCAGAGGAAACTTATTTTGTTTTATCAATTATGTTTGGAATCACAATTATAACTGATGATTAGATCCTCTTGTATGCAATTAACCATATTTTTTATTATTCAAATTGTAGAAATCTGAAAACTGAACTTTAGTCACAGTCGATTCTTCTCTTCAAAGCAGAGGGAAAGCTTGGCGATGTTTGTAAACCATTATATTCATCATCATTAAATACAGTTAACGTGTCTACAAATCCTGATGCATGGCTGGCCAGATGATGACACACACACACACACACACACATTCAAACAAAATCAAACTGACACACTTTCTTTCAGCAGATGTTGAACAGCACCGTTAATGGAAAGTCAATGGGGAGGAACAATGTTAGCAAACAACAATGCATCGTTCTCTCTAATACGTGGATGTGTATTTACATGTAGATACACACACACACACACACACAGACTGGTATGCATTAGTTCTGCACCATGCTCATTGCTCATTCGGTTGATTCTCTCGTAGACCATGTTTCCTCTCTGTTGAACAAATGGGCATTTATGTTAATTGAAAACACCTTAGTGCCCTTAAAAATCTGGTTGAATTAGTGCACGATCTGTCCGATAGGAGGATCTGTGAGCAATATTAAATGTTGCACCATGTATTGTTATCGGTGTGGTTTTCAGTAACATTAGTAACATTAATATGACATACGAATGACAATATACAATAGAAATTCCAACCTAATTATTTAATTTAAAGTGACCACGACTCCTCCGATCGAACAGTAATGTGTGCCAAAAGCAGTGGATGGGATACAGCGGGCGTTTGGCTCCCGTGCTTCCCTGAACTTTGTCTTGCCGTGTGTCGTGCACGCAGAGATGAGTGGACGGAGGCCATCCAGATGGTGGCTGACAAGCTGCAGAGACAAGAGGAGGAGAGATTCCAGTGCAGCCCCACCTCCAACATCGACAACATGGTCGAGGAGGAGATGGACATCTCCACCACACACCACAAACGCAAGGTAGCGCGCACACACTCACCCTCACACACCGCTCATTAAGCCGCACACAGCAAAGGTTTTTATGTGGGGTTTAACTCGATAAAGTTCATTAATATCAGTAAAAATCAATTTGTCTTTGAAAACTGACCTTCATTGTAATTATAAGGATTGATGTCTATCAAGTACGGAAGGTTGGCGACAGCTGTCACTCTTGTAATCTTGTTAATTTGTATTTATTTCTTGGCTGCTTGTGTTAAGTAAGTTTTAACTGCTCTGTACAACCATCCAAACATGGAAACTCCTAAAACATCAACTATTCGACTCGAGGAGCAGAGGACTTACCGACAGTCTGCGTTTGCTCCCCTAGACGATGAGCGACTTCGACTACCTGAAGCTGCTGGGGAAGGGAACCTTTGGGAAGGTCATTCTTGTCCGAGAAAAGGCCAGCGGCAAATACTACGCCATGAAAATCCTCAAAAAAGAAGTCATCATCGCCAAGGTTAGTCCGGCTGATTGTTTTGTGTATTGATCAATCTTGTCTGAATCTGAGGCTTTTAGCGCTTTTCAACTTATTCATTTTGTGGTTTGGGCATGTGTGTAACTGTATCTGTGCAGGACGAAGTGGCCCACACACTGACAGAAAGCAGAGTATTGAAGAACACCAGACACCCCTTTCTCACTGTAAGTACCACACACGCACGCACACACACACACAACACAAACGGTTTGCATTCAGACATCTGTGTTTATGCAAATTTTCCGACATCTGTAAGAGCGCATATTGATCCAATACTTACCTGAGTCTCTGGAGGCTAATTACCAGTTAGACACCACATTGTTCTACATTAACGGCCACATCTGTCAGCTTTACACAATCTCTTTGATGTACACAAACACGCATACGCTGCTCATTCTATCACACGCACACACACACACACACATGAATGAAGGCACTGTTGTGAGCGGCACTCACATCTGAGTTTACTCCTGTCACATCTGCAGCCGCAAAGACACTCGGACCAACTGTTCTTTTTGTTTAGCAGCTTCCCCCCTCTGAGGAAAACGCACACCTATTTTCCTTGAATAGGCAAATACCGGCATGAACATTTGAACGTCCTGCCGCTCCTGCTGTTTCAGCTTCACTGACAATAGACTTCTTGCTGCGTGCAAAATAGTCCTTTCATTCACCTCCCTGTGCTCTTTATGAGGAGTGCGACTCCATAATGTGTTTTTCAAGTGTTTATTTGGAAAACCATAAAACGTTATTTGATGCTATTTAAGTTATTCCTCTGTACAGAGAGATATTGAGTTAGTTAATGCATTTTCTCAGTCGTGCACTACCTTTCCTTTTGGATCATTTTAGTCCACTATCTAGTGTAAGATTTAATAATCTGGCTACATAAGGGAAAATTCATTTAAAAGACGCAATAGATTTTTACGTTTATGACGCACATAAATCAATTTAAGTTACATTCTGTGTGTGTGTGTGTGTGTGTGTGTGTGTGTGTGTGTGTGTGTGTGTGTGTGTGTGGTTCTCCTTTCAGTCATTGAAGTATTCATTCCAGACTAAAGACCGCCTCTGTTTTGTCATGGAGTATGTGAATGGAGGAGAGGTAAGACACACAGACACTGACATGCAAGGTCTCACACACACACACACACACACATGTTCAGTCATGATTGTTGTGCCATATGTGGTTACCTTTCTTTGTGTTTCTGCTTTAAACAGACAGTTAAACCACATTTCCACGACTCCAACTGATGTTGATTAAGCACCTATTCTCCTGTGAGCTCTGAGCTGAGACAAAACACAACAAACACATTACAGTGTTTAACAAAATACATTTCTTAGCTTCTGTGTTTACATTTTTATGCGTAAATATCTACCAAAAATCATACATCACCCTTATACTGCACTCCAAGTATTTAGAAATATTTCATAAAAAGATGGTTTCTTAAACAATCGTCTGTTTAAAAAAAGTCTCACAGATAATAAACAATATTATATATAATATAAGCTGGGATGTTTGAAGTTTGGCTGTTCAATTGCTTTCTAACAGTTCATTTGCCAACCAACTGGCCCCTCGCTTTCTTTCTCGTCTGTCTTATCCGTTTGTTTGTGTCTATTTGTGAACACACCTTTGGGGCAGATAAAACCGGAATGACAGTCAGAGACAAAATGAGTTTGGATTCCCCCACTTTTCCATTTCTCAGATTTTTAATCGGGCCGCTTTTTGCAATCTTCGTTCATTCCCTCAGTGTAACCGTCACCTGCTCCCCTCCCAGATAGTTAGTCGGTTCAGCCAGTGCCAGGCCTGAGCAAACACACACACACACACACTCACACACAGAAAACACCAGCAAACAGTCACATACTTAGACAAACACACGCAGACATTTTTTACCTCAACGGACAAACTGTAACCACACACATGTCTCACAAACACACACACGCACACACAACCCATTACAAACCTGCCACAGTCACAGCTGCCAGTACGCTGATGAAGGCCCACCTGTCGTGTTGCCCCCTCTCACCACACCCACACACACAACCATTGCACACGGACACCATTTGAGCGAGGTGGTCTGTGAGCATCACTCCAGCGGCCATATGCAAACCTCCCCGAACAATTAATGGGTAGATGTGTGCCCCTTGGCCTCGTGGGTAATTTGTACGACTTGACTGGTGCGCCGCAGCAGGCTGGTGTCATTTCGGTGCCACATGTGTAGCTGTGCGACAGTGACAACTTGACATCTGACTGGCTAGTGAGAGAGTGAGAAAGATGAAGGGAATGTGAGGTTAGCCATTTTGAAAAGGCGAGACGGGGGGGGAGGGGGGTCACGCCACCTAGTGAAATAAAACGAGTGGCGCCCTCTTTTAAGTAGCAAAGTGAGCTTTCTCGCCCAAAGCAGGCCGATAAGATATGAGGATTGGGCGAATGAAGACCTCGGGGGGGGGGGCGGGGGGGCAAGGCCAGTTAGGCCACTAATGAGTGCTGCACTGGAGGCAGTTGAAATGGGGGAGCGGGAGGGGGTCGGGGGAGAGTGTTGGCGGCGGCGGTCGGCCCGTCTTTAACTAGACTGGTGTATTGATTAAACCCTCGATTTGGCCCCCGTTGCCGAACTCCGCGGCAGCTCCGTGCCAACCGCGCCCAGAGGGCAGCGCGGAGGAGGTATGCGAGTGTGTGCGCGCGCTGAGGGGCCGCTAGATGAGGCGCCAGCTGCCGAGTGCCTCCGCCCGCCCTCCTCTGAGGCCCCCCCCCCCCCCCTCGTGGCGCCCCATACCCACCCCACCCGGCCCCTCACCACGCGTACCCCATTACACACCGCCCCCCCACACCCTCATGCACCCTCCCCTCCGCTATCTATCATCTCAATATGGTGCGGGCAGCCAGTTTGTGTTGTGCTAATTTCCTCCAATAAATCAGTAATTATTGCTGTGCCGTCCCTGCTGCCCCCCCCCCCCCCCCCCCCCCACACACCTCCTCCCTGTTTCTCCCTCTCTCACCATCCCTTTTCCTCCCTCCTTCTCCCGCAGCTGTTTTTCCATTTGTCAAGAGAGCGGGTGTTCTCCGAGGAGCGCACGCGCTTCTACGGCGCCGAGATCGTCTCGGCTCTCGACTACCTGCACTCAGCCAAGATTGTGTACCGGGACCTCAAGGTAAACAGAAACAGGGAGGGGGGAGGCTGGTTGGGGGGCACGAATTAGAGTGATCAGATATTTGATATTGAAGCCCCCCCCCCCCCCCCCCCACTGCCCTGTGTTCCACGGTTTGTTGTTTTTTGCATCCAGGAGGAGAGGAGTGGCTCAGCATGTGTGGTAATTAAAGAGAGGGACAGGGACAGTCTCACAAAGACGTGAAGCAGTAAAGGAGGGGAGACAGCCAGGGAAGGAGAGAGGAGGGGACGGCGAGAGGTAGATGGCTCCGTCTGAGCGTCTGCCTGGCAGCCTTGGCCCCAGCGCTGCTTCCAGCAGCCAAGAATACAGAAAGGAACTAAAGCAGAGTGAGAAAAACACTTCAGCCATTAAAATGAAAAGGTTGAGTGGCTCCAGTACACGCCGGAAGTTTATCTCCCTCCTCTGCATTTTTGTGTGGCTCTCTGAGGGTGTGTGTTGCCGCAATGTGGCATAATGCTTTCCTCACCTGTGAAACTTTACCATACAGGAAGTGTTGATTCTCAGTCACGACTGAGGAGAATGAAATATGAGTTTCGTTGTTTTCTGAAGGTTCAGTTGTATTGTTGGACATTATGTGTTTTTCTGTCTACCTTCCAGTTGGAGAACCTGATGCTGGACAAAGACGGTCACATCAAGATCACTGATTTCGGCCTCTGCAAGGAGGGCATCACAGACGCTGCTACCATGAAGACATTCTGTGGAACGCCCGAATACCTCGCGCCTGAGGTAACGTTTCACTTTTCTCATGTTTGCCGTTTGGATTTCTCTCTATTGTGTGTTTGTTTCCTCGGCTTTGTCTTTATTGTCTTAGGTGCTCTACTGTAATACTTCTTATAATTTTACCTCTTTCCCCGCTTTCCTCCAGTCTTTTAGGAAAAGTAATTTAGGGTTGAATGTGAACATCCTATCAAATGGCGCCGCTTTCAGAATCAATTCCCATTACTCTGACTTACTACTACGGTATGTATGTTGTACATCATGGTAGCTCCATGCAATATGAAGGGAGACAACAAGGGGCTATCAGTCAGGTCAGGGTATTATTTCATAATCCCTTTAACAAATAGAACGTTATTCGATCACGCAACGATACGATACAAAAGATATGTTGGACGATATTCTGCTCTCCTCTTCCACACATGGGAATCTGACTACATACAGTACAGGTGCTTCGGCTAAATTATGAATAAATATGAAATGATGAATTTGATTACCACATCCACAACACATTGAAGATGCAACAATATAATAGTAATAATATAAGTATATAATCCACACTTAAATGACATACATTTCAGGGACCTAATCTCTGTAAACTGAGCAGATTGACTGAGACTTTTCTACATAAAAGCCTCATTGGCTTCTACGCAGGCGCCGTACCACAAGTCATGACCCCCCCCATAAAACCCTGAGGTTTGTACCGACTCTAATGAAACCTGCTTACAGTGGACATTTTAATTAGCAGACTTCACAGGCGAACCCTTTTCATAATATCAGACTATGCGGCTTAGTGTGTAATCGTGATTATTATTTTTTTTCATCCATCCGCTGTCCGGCCCATCAGCGCTGCTTCACTTGAAGGCCAGCGGATCAACTGGCAAGAGCGTTACAGGACAGTGGGTGGTGGAGATGTAGATGTGGAGATGAAGGCGGGAGGAGAGCGGCGTAGCGTATATCCCACTTGAAAAAGTATGGAGGACAATTTGGCGCAGCATTTTGTGCTTTTTTTCCCTTTTTTTTTTTTTAAAGAGTCCCTTCCTTTTGCGTGCCAAAAGCTGATTGGAGGCTGTTGGTTATTTTTCACAGGATGTGCGTCTGTGTGCATTTCTATGTGTGTGTGTGTGTGCGTGCGTGTGTGCTGTGTGTGTGATTGCAGTAGAAAGTGCGGGCTAAAGCGAGGCAGATGGCGGCAGATGGGCGAGGTTGGAGGAAGGTGCTCGGAAAAAACCTGGAAATCTACACTACCGCCGCCGCCACTCACCCGCCCGCACGCTCTGCTCGCCCGCCCGCGTGTAAAAATAACACAGTTTGCTCGGAGCCAAGTTACAGAGATGCAAAGTAGCCGGGATATAAAAGAGAGCGGGGTAGGTGGGGGTTGAAGACAGAGGAAGATGAAAACCGAGAGGAAATATTTCAGGGTTACAGCAGTGAGATTCAGACGCTGCGAAGGGCAGATGAGAGGTGAACGAAGGGTTTGTGTGTGAAGAAAGACAACGCCGAAAAGTGATTGATTGTTTCAAGGATTGTCATCAATAAAAAAGAATGGACAATAAGCAGTGGGAAGTAAAAAGAAAAAAGATAAACGAATCTGAGGAAACATGTGGATTGTTGTCTGAAGGAACAACATCTTTGACAAATTGAGTTCCAATAAGACTATTGTAATAATGTAACTCAATTTGTCAAAAAACATGGCGGCACAGTCGGCATTGAGTAAAAAACGTGTCACAACAGTGTCAACATGAACCTGGTTCCAAAGGATGCCACGCAGCAGATAGAAGGCCTCTCCGTGACACTAACATATGCGAGTGTGTGTGTACTGTGCCCAGTGTACGAGGGGAGTGTTTGTGTTCCCAGCAGCCTGCTGGGTATCTGGGCTGGTACAGCCACAGGCTGCGTGTGCCCGTCCCGTCCCATCCAGTCCTGTCCGGGCTGCCAAGGCTCCTGCTCCGCGAGCAGCACGTAGTCGCCGCATGGCGGCCCCAAAGGGACCCGCACGGGACCAGCGCTTCCTTCTGACGCCGGCTTTTCTCTTCTTTCTAATTCGCTTCTCTCTTGCTGATTCAGCTAATGCGTTACTTCTACTGCCATGTCCTATTTATTTGTCCTGTCTGTTTCTAAAGTATACACATAATCATGCATAGTGTACTTTCTCACACACACACACACACACACACACACACACACACACACACACACACACACACACACACACACACACACACTCCCATGCCTCAATGCCTCAGGCTGTGGGGCAGCATTCTGGCTCTGTGTGGTTTAATCTGCTCCCTGCCTGCAACCGAGCTGCCACCACCTTCTTTGGTCCCAGGACACACACACACACACACACATATATATACACGCACACACCCACACAGTCTTTACACTCATATATATATATATATATATATATATGAGTGTAAAGACATATATATATATATAGATATATATATATATATATATATATATACAGATACATTCCCAACCAGACTGCTTGCTTTTGTGTACATTTGTGTACCGATTCCTTACATACAGCTCCAGTGGATCTGCATTGAAAACCTTGAAAGCTTTCATAAACTTCACACTGTGTGTGTGTGTGTGTGTGTATGTTTGTGTGTGTTCTTGTTTGTGTGTGTCTATCCTCAAGCTCGTAACACCAAGCATGCCTCTCCCTCAAAACTTCATGAATTTGATGAGAACGGATAAATATTCCATCTGTTGTGCGAGTGTGTGTGAGTCTCCCAGCAGTGTAAGCCAGTGTTATCCCTTCAGCCGTACCAATCAATAGTATATCAGGAGCTGGCGGCGCTCCTCTCCCCGAGGTTTACTCTGCACCTGCCAACAGGGTGACCTGCGTAATGTACACACACGCAGACAGACACGCACAACGTATAGCACTCGTACCTCTTTTATCCACTTCCCGGCACATGTTGACTTGCACACGCGGAAGCAGCCGCCTGCATGGTTAGCAGTCTAGTGTTGCGTGTGTGAGCTCAGTCAGTGGATGAGCAGCTTTCTGTGGCGTCGAGCTGCTGTGGAAACACGAAGGCAGCTGTTTGGGCGTTTTGTGACATTTTGACGCCATTTACAGCTGGTGTTGTGCTGCGCAACCTGACGTCCACCTTCACCTGTCCCTTATTTGGTGGAAGTTAAATGACAGAAGAAAACTATTTTCATTTTATTGAGGCAGATGAATTACAACCAGTCTGTGACTGACTGTAAACTTTAATGAGAAGGGTTCCTGATCTGGAATAACATCAAATTATTACTCCTGACAAGCGGCCAAAAAGCAATTATTGTCCCGTTGCTGATGGTATTGCTTTAATGGTGACGGGAAACGTATTCATTACATGTGGTGTCATAGATTCATTCAGAATGATCACACTCATGGTTAGTCAGCAGCTTAAAACTGTCTGTTTTATGCCGCTAAATATTTTATAAACTCATGTCACCGTATCAATCTGATAGGATTGAAATGTTCACGTGTCTAAAATCTGAGGTTCGAAGTAGCACAAATAGGGTCAATTTTAATTTCAGGTTCTTCTTAGTTTGTGTCTGTGGATATTGTGCAGCCAGTGCACGGCATTTATCAAAAGAAACAATCCTTTGATATTCTTAAGGCTTTATAGTTTCAACATGTCATTAATAAAAGTCCAAACATGTCTTTGCATGTTTGCCTTTTTATATATTTGTGGCTGTTAGCGTCCACCCTGCCTGGTCCATTATTAACAGTGAGTGAGATGTTGTTATTATTGGCAAGATGTAAAACATATGCTGCTCTGGCAGCTCTCCAGCTATGTGTGTGTCCGTCTAACTAACACACACACACACACACACACACACACACACACACACACAAAAAATTGGTGTCATGCAACAAAAGCATGCATACACACTCACCATGTTAAAAGGCGTTAAAAGCACCTGAAATGCGTCTCTTCCTGCGTATGCCTCCTTTTTCCTCTTCCTCGCTCTTCCAGAGGTGAGCGAGCGGGTCCATGAGTGGATGACAGTGAGGGACCAAGCGAGGCAAGACATGATTAGAGGACTGAGAAGATGAGACGGGATGCGGAGGACAGCGCAGGCAGAGCAGCCAGGGAATGAGAGCAGGAAGGAAGCCCGGAACGAGAGACTTTGATACGGGAGTGACTTCTTTCACAGGCGCTCTGTCCACACACACACACACACACACACACAGCGGCGGACAGTACCTGTGCTAGCCAGCCTGAAGGTCGGCTGGCCCTGACCCACGTTGCGTGCGGTTCCTGCCTTTTCCATCCAGGGACGTTCCTCTCTCGGTGTGCCAGGGGGAGCTGGCAGGGACCAGAGGGGGCATCTGGTGGGCCGCGCCAGCACACTGACTCCCTCGCTGTAACAGGGGGCCTCTGAAGACCTGCCATCCCATGATGTTGTCCTCTGTCCGTGTGTGTCTACGCCTTGGCAGAGGGAGGGGTCGCGGGGTCTTTACTGTCTACACCTCAGCTCGTGTTATCTGTGCTGCCGCTTCTGTTTGACTCAGACTTTTGCTGCCGTTTCTTTTTTCGTTTTTTTTTTTATATCTTTCCCTTGAGCAAAATGGCATATTGACTCTCCTTTGCTGTCCGTCCTCGTCTCATCTGTCTCCTCATTGAATACCTCAGGCAGTCTCTCTCGTCCAATAAAAGAAATGCAGAAATGCAGAATAAAAGCAGATGTCTATAAAACAAAATGGTCCTGTTTAAAGAAAGCCAACATTGTGTATCTGTATCTCAGGTCCTGGAGGACAACGACTACGGCCGTGCGGTGGACTGGTGGGGTTTGGGCGTGGTGACGTACGAGATGATGTGCGGCCGACTGCCGTTCTACAACCAGGACCACGAGAAGCTGTTTGAGCTCATCCTCATGGAGGACATCAAGTTCCCGCGCACTCTGTCGTCTGACGCCAAGTCGCTGCTGTCGGGGCTGCTCATCAAAGACCCCAACAAGCGGTTAGTGGTTAGTGAGTGGGACTGAGGCAGAAATGTACAATCGTGAACAGGTGAACGCAGTAAATACAGGACTTTTACCCGACTAAAGATCGACTCCTGTAAGTGAGCTTGTTTCTACTCATCTCTTCACCAGGCTCGGCGGAGGACCGGATGACGCCAAAGAAATAATGAGACACAGTTTCTTCTCTGGCGTCGACTGGCAGTATGTGTACGATAAAAAGGTATGAAGCAGCATCTGTGGGATGTGCCGCTGTGAATACTTTCCGGATGCACTGTAGTATACGATAACATCATTTTTGTCATGTTTTAATGACCCTTTTTTGTCATTTTAAGAATAAACTTTACTAAAAAGACACACTATAATAGGATCTTTTCATGAAAAACTATGATATGCGTTGTTTTTGTGTCTTTTTTAAGACTTTTTTTAAATGAAAATGTCTTTTGTGTGACTTGTAAAGACATAGTATGAAATGAGTTAGACTGTGTTAGTGACTATGTTGTTGACTTTTAATGACTGATGCTGCATTCGCGTTGTATGCTACATAACCATTGGTCCTCTACTCCAGGAGGGTCTCTGCTCTGTTGTTTGGAAGCTTTATTGTGAAATGCATTCGTTCCTCTTTGTGTCGTCCTCACGTCTCCAGATGGTCCCCCCATTCAGGCCTCAGGTGACGTCGGAGACAGACACCAGATACTTTGATGAGGAGTTTACTGCCCAGACCATCACAATCACTCCACCAGAGAAATGTGAGTCCTTACTCGCGCCCTCTCTCTCACACGTCAAAACACGTTGTGTCGCTCATTTTTCTAATGCAAAAGATATTCAGAAGAAGTAAATGCTCTGGTGTGGATTGTTTGTGTTAAATGTGACCCGCGTCCAACCAAACAGTGCATACCATAATAACCATGGAGTCATTTCATGAATGTTAATAAAACTGTTCTGCAACTTGGGAGTAAATAAGCTGCAGTTGGTAGATATTGTGATAATGATAATTATTCCACTTTCTTCTGTTTTTTACTTTGCTTTAATACTAGTTTAGTCAGTGGCGCCTTTTCTTTAGGTGAGATGTTGAACTTGAAATAAACACTCAAAGTGCTGTTGTCTGTTTATTCAAGTGTCTCTGTAATAGTCCTCAGGCCACTCGCAGCGCTTCACAGGCTTTTTTAAGTGAAGATACCAGCTTCTAAATGTCGAGCACTGAATTATGCATGAGTGGAGCCGATGTGTTACTCGGTGCTAATGTGAGGTTCCACTCGCTCGATGGGTCGCACATCAGTTAGTAAGCCGGAGATCAAAGACACACTTGTTAATTGAATCTAGTTCCGTTTAAAACTACAGTACAACAACGCTCCACACACAAAGCTTTGTGCGGTGTGATTAAATTCGGCAATCAAATCAACCGGAGAATGTGTTCCGTATTTGAATTGCATGTATTGCATTTGTATTAACTGACTACTTCTCCTTAAGTTTAACAATGTAATTAAGTACTTCCCAATCGACATGTTTCCTCAGTCGACGAGGACGGGATGGACTGCCTGGACAACGAGAGGCGGCCGCACTTCCCACAGTTCTCCTACTCCGCCAGCGGCCGGGAATGACCTCTCCACCGCGGTGACATCATCACAGCTGGTCTCTGAGGTCATCAGTGTGGGACAAAAAGACGCACGGCTCCGGACGTCCCCCAGAAAGACTTAAAAGGCTGTTGCCCTTCTCCTTCTTCTCCTCCTCCTTCTCCTCCTCCTCCTTTCTTTTTCACCTCTGCAGTCTGCTTCTCCGTTTATTTAAGTGAAACCCTTTTTAGAGAAAACTTACTTTCTAATCCTGCGCTGCAAACCTGTGGTGATCCGAAACTGTGATGTGATCAGTTACTGTGTAATGTCCCTTTAATGACAGGAGCATCACCGGTGGCCTGCTGTGCTTTGACATGTGTCGGTCCTGCCAAACTCTTAGAAACAAGTCAAGTGAAGTTAGACGACAGCTGATGCAACAAGGAGACGCTCTGTGGCGGTGGAGCGTTTGAGTCATTCTAACCTAAACTGCCGTTACCGGTTGTCTCTCAGGCTTTTGCAAACAGGCCGATACTCTCAGATTTAGAGAGGCACTCGGGTCTGATTTCAAATCCTCTCTAAATAATCCTGCGATAGATGTGAGGCTGCCTGGCAGTGAGGGAGCAGTTGTGAGCAGAATCCTACGTAGCTCATGTTATCAAGTAGGACTCAGGTTTTGCTCAGTGCAATGTTGTTGCTGCTATTTCAACTACTACAGGAATTACTACTATATTTCTACTATCAAAACCCGGTGCTACACTACTAGCTTAATGCTGCAGATTATTATACAGGCGCCAGCGACACCTGTATGCTTGTACAGCTGCAGGACAGTAGTGGCTTTTGTTCTTAATGTACGGCTACGAAGACAACTGAAAGGACGACGTGTGCGCGCGTGTGTGTGTGTGTGTGTGTGTGCGTGTGCGCGAGGGTCCTCTTATGGGTTTGTGTTGAATAACGCACCTCAAAGCACAGCAGTTCAGAAGGATGAAGCTCCCAAACCACGAGCTTTGCTACGTTACCCACAATGCAGTGCAAGTTGGTTGATGAAACCATCACAAGGTGAAAATGAGAGGAAAGCAGTTTGTTTGAACCCCACCTCCCCCCCCCCTCCTCCAAAAGGGAACACACCAGTGAAATGGTACTTGGTGTTGATGAAGCTCGACTGTGACATGTTGTTGTCACGAGTTCGGGAAACCACACGGCTGTACCTCTCGTCTTTGTACAGGAAAGTGGAACAGATTCACCACAGAGTGGAAACAGAAGTCCAAGATGGCAGGTTGGGCATCGTTGATGAGAATAGAGAGCGAGTACAGGAGTTATGACAATTTTATAATATCATTTATGACGTATTGAAGACCGAGCTAACGGCTTATTTCCTGTTTCCTGTGAGATTCTTATGAGGAATTTTCGTTTAAAAAACCAGGAGGTACGCATCAGTTATGGGTTTACAAAATTCACAGCAATGGCTATAATATATATATAGAAAATATATATATTCTATTTATTGTTCTACTCATCAGTTTTATATTTAACTTTTTCTATTGTTATTACATTATTATAGGAAAAAAAAACCTATTTCTTAGGGCTGAGAGAAAAAAAGGCCCCTCAAAAAACTAAAAGGCCGAAGATTGTAGGAGGGAATGCAGATCGTGTTCCTGCTCCATTTTTATTTGAATGATGTTTTTGTGTTTTGTGACCAAAATGTGACGGGCTGCTTTGAAGACAGATGTTAGCGTACTGTGAGCTTAACAAGGTACACAAATATATTTATGTAATCCCCTTTTCTTCAGCATCCCGCAGGCGTCACCGAGGGCTCAGCTCTCTGACACAAACGTTCCCCACATAGAACCCGACCGCTGGTGAGTGCAGGTTGAGCAGAAAGTGCAGCACAGAAGTCTGAATGTAAAGTGGTGATATTGGAGGAGTTTGGGGACTGAATCGTGAATAATAGTGTGTTGGACGTGTGGTTACGGGACAGGAGTCTGTCAGGTCAGACACGCCGCCGTCTTCGAGAAGCACCGTCACTTCTCCGGTCTGGACTTTGTTTGTTTGTCTTCCATCTGAACAAGATTTTAAAAACACCACAATTTCCCTTGTCTTCAAAACACCAGTTGGCCTTATGGTTTAAATCGGAACACATCAGCCCTTCAGAGTACCAGATGTGATGAACTAGATTTCAAAAATGTGAAAGTTTAACCGCATCCTAAAAAACACACCTATTATCATGTGGAGGAAGACACTTTTTTAATATTGTCAGATCAAGTCAGATTTAAAGTTAGAGACATGCTCTGATTAGACGTAGGAACTTGTTTTACAATGAGTGTTTTTACGATCATCATTGATGGATAACTTGAATTTCTCTAATTTATTTGGGCGTTTATCAGTAAGAGGATGTAGTCGTGTTTCACTGCAGTTTGTGTCTCCAGATATTTTTGTTCTAAAAATAAATATTTTTGTTCTTTACACATAATTCTTATACGACAAATTACGTGTTTTTTCCGCTGCTGTCGAATCCATATGCTTTAAACTTGCACATCCATTAAATTGCTATTGGCTGGCAGAGGCGCTTTATGGAGAAAGTAGAGAAGGACGCCGCCGCATGAAGCAGCCGCGAGTCAAAGACGCACTACGGAAAATCCCTCTGTGATCGATTGAGCTTGTCTGCCGGCGCTGAAGCAGACGAATAGTTCAAAGGCAGTACGAGTCCACCAGACAAGCTCAGGCAAACGCTCAGTATTTGGAAAGAATTCAGCTGATTTGACCCGGCCAGCGAATGAGTTCCAGCTGTATGTACGCTCTTCCCGTCAAAGTCATTAGAAACCAGAGTTTATAAAGGGACGACTTTATCGCTTTGGCCGCAGCACTTTCACATGCGCAATTTGTAATACGGTCCAGAGGAATCGGTTTTAAACCTGCTCTAAAAGGAAAGAAGATGATTATTTTTAAAGCACATCTTCCATCCACCTGCAACCGATAGCTTGGATGTTGCTCTGATGTCTTCAGCCGGCAAAGCCCGGGTGAATGTGTCCCAGAGACGAGTCAGACCTTCAGCTGCTTCATGAACTAAAACGTTTAGAAACGTCTACGGATGTCACGGACTCCTGCTCCTCTGGTTTTGAAAAGTTCTCCCTCCCCGTTTAATGCTTCTTTACACACTGAAGCGATAAATGTAAGCGGAGACGCTGGAACTTGGTCCCGCTTTCTAATCCCTGAAAGAAATGAATGGACACGTTGGTGATTTCTGTAACTGGACTGGACTGGACGTGTTCACTCCCAAAGCTGCTGCTGTTTGTCCTGCACATCTCTTACGCAACAGATCCCACTCCTACGATATTTGAATAGTACGTCGAATCCTTTCAAAGACCTCGGCGGCTCCGTATCGATCACACGGCGATTAATGCAGATAAAAAGTCAGCGGCTGCGGAAGATTTCCGAAAGTATTTGACCTCGTGTCTGCAACAGAATTCCTCCCCTCCCTTTATCTTGTTCTAGACTACTATCATGATTATTAACACGAACAAGCATGAGGTGCATTTATTTATAAACGGCAAAACATGTACAAATAACACAACGCGGCCATTGAGTCCATTTCGTGTCCATCTACTGTGGCTTTGCAGCCGTGTGAGGTGTTTGTGGACGGCCATGTTTCCCTGAAGCACTGTTATACTGAATGCTGCTCTCTGGCGTGTCAGCTGATATTCACACTGAGACGTAGTCGGGAAACTCAGCAGATCGATCAAAAGGCCTTTAACTGTCCCTCGTGCTGTTGGGCCTCGAGGATGTGAAAACAAAGATTTACCATCAACATGAAGCTGTTTTTTACACTGTACATCCTTAGTATTTTTACACAATGTATATGATGGGGATGCACATTATTTTCCTTCTTACAGACAGCTTCAATAAAGCACTACGTCAATCTGCTGCCACGGGGTCGACTCTTTATCTTCTAAACAATGTGTATATTTATAGAAAAAATATTCCCTGTTATAATGAACAATCTGGATCAATTCTATTGAAACTCTATAGAATTTTCCAAAAAGCTCATTTTAGTTCAAGTGATTTTGCTCCGTGGGACAAAATTAACATCACAGTAACAACATTGTAATATATAAGATGGAAACCTGATTTTTAGTTGTGTTTATAATGTACCACAATATAAAAAGGAGGAACACACTTGTCCCCCTCAGTAAAAAAAAAACACACACATGCACAAATACCAATTTGATGTGTTCTTGTCAACAAGAGATTTCTGACTTCAGATCCGGATCCAAACGACAGCAGGAGGAAATGAGCAGGACAGACTCATGTGGACGGAATGTTGACTCGTCTCTTAAAAAAACACACACACATTCAATGACACACAATATCTCACATAATGACCCGACAGGAGCAGAAAATCAACATGTTTTTGATCGATAGTCATGACTGGATGAACATCTTCTGAATAATGTGCGTGTGGAGAGAAAAACACACCACACACATTTGTATTAGGAAACCAAACCAAGACGTGTGTGTGTGTGTGTGTGTGTGTGTGTGTTTGTGTACCTCTGTGTGTAGACTTTGCATCTCCTCAGTCAGCGTGTTTCTCTCCTGCATCAGCTGGTTCTGTTTGGCCAGCAGCTCACACACCTGCTGAGCGCTGCTCTGACAGTGACGGTCCAACTGCTGCAGCCTGCAACACACACACACACACACACACACAATATTGACAAACTGGCTGTGACGAACCAAATGTTGTAAATATTGAGAGAGAGATGGATCCACACGGAGACTTCTTTGATTTCTTTGTGTTAATAACCAGCACTGTGTACATGAATGTGTGTACGTGTCAGATCAGACGAGGTGATTCACGGCCTCAAAACGCAGCCTCACAGGGGGGGCATCTGCACATTAAGCGAGCAAGAACTTTCCTATCTCAATAGAATATTCACTCAACACAAACGATTACAGTTGACATCTTAAAATACTCGTACAAATTAAATTGCAGCCTGAATCGATTGATCAGCGTCACGCGACGGCTGAACTCCGGCTCGACAGTTTGTCGGGAAAGAGGCGGAATGTTGATCAGTACGAGGACGACCCAATTAGTGGGTCCCTGTTTGGAAAAAAACGCTCCTGCAGACAATAAACTCTTTCAGTGTGTGTGTCGGGTGTATGAATAGTGTGCGTTATTACTGTGTTTGGGGGTGCAGCTGGAATGTCTGTTAAATATTTCCCACCAGCAACTCATTACTTCATGCACTGCTCCATTGTTTCATCCTCCCGTGCAGAGGTGAGCTGATTGGCACACAAACACAAAGGCAGACTAGACAGACCGACTACATCGCACACTCACGCGTCATGCTCTCATGTGGGAGATCACACAGCACGTCACTCACAGCGGACACTATTAAAGTGTGAATGCTTTTCACTACGATAGTGACTGCAGAACGAGTACCAGCCATGTTTCACACTGTGGTTAGGAAGCAGGTCTCAAGGAAATACAGACACCAACCACTGAGACATGCGTAGTGAGAGCGTCTTCAACCAGGCACAGGAGACGAGAGAGAGGAGGACCACGGGAGGGGGACGATGGAGAGTCTCGGGGCAGAGAGACGGGGAGCGAGCTAGCTGGAGGGGGGGGGGACAGATGCCCCTGCCCTGCTGGTCATGTTGGCAGTGACAAGGCTGCCTGTGTGTGACAGACGGGGGAGGCAAACATCCCAACACAATCTGCCCCCTCCCCTTGACATTGTCCTCACTCTTTTTCCACCTTCCACCATAATCCTGTCCCGCCATCCTCATCATCACCACCAACAACTTCCTCATCATCAACTTCCTCAGCAGCCTTTTAAACCATCAGCCCCCCCCCCCCCCCTCTTGTGTCTCCCCCCCACTCTCCCCCATCGTCCCCTGCTGGGTGCTTAATCTCAGACCCGGAGGCTCAGTCCAGTCCTGGAGAACGAGGAGCGATGACTCTCCTTCCCCGCCGTGGTGTGCTTACAGCCGGCGAAGCTGTCTTGACCATCTCCCCCCCTCATATTCTTCTCCCCCCCTCTCACGCTGCGACTCAGCAGGGAAACCGCCACGTCACACAGAACAAGACACGAGACGAGATAATACACAAATAGACACAACCGATGTGCCGCACACACACACACACACACACACACACACACACACACACACACACACACACACACACACACACACACACACACACACCCTAAAGGTGTTGAGGACTGAAGGCTCCTCAGCACCAAACTCGTCTCAGTCACCAAAAACTCGTCCAATCACGAGCTCCGGTGGAGAAGCAGCGAACGCATCGCAACCATCGTCTCGGGAAAGATGGCGTCCGGCCGTCTCCGTGCCGATGACCCACTTTTAAAGAAAACTCCTTACAGGGCTGTTTGGCGGTTTCATTTCGGGTGTTTTTGGTGGTTAAGATTTCAACTTTCTAGAATTCATTAACAGCTTTTTTATTATTTGATTTTGATTATTATCAGACATCTCCATAAAACCCCGTTATCAACATGGACCATGAGAAATACTTTGGTAGTTTTGCTGGACTGACCCGTTAACTCCCAGCAAGTCAAATTATTAATGTACGGTCAGAAATGCCTTTAACTGAAAGGAGGCCGAGAAGTAAAAGAATAAAAGATAAAAAATAGACGAAGCAACGATTGAGAGACTTTTAAACGTTAATGTGGGGAAGGCTAAAAAAAAAACTAAGCCCAAAATGTACAAAGCCGGCAGCGGCCTGCAGGGTCCCGCACAAGCGAAGGAGTCGGATGATCGGGGGGGGGGACCTGTACTGACACGTAGAACGGCTGAAGGTTTTATGGCATGAACTAACTAAAGCTTTGACCCCGACACACACACACACACACACACACACACACACACACACACACACACACACACACACACACACACAGTTTCTCTGGCCGGAGCACTGCTAACCTCTGGCCTTCTTATACAACACACACACTCACTCACTAATCCACCTTGTCTCACCTTGTATACCCTACCTGAAAAGAGGGGAGGTGTGTGTTTGTGGGGGGGGGGGGGGGGGGGTATGTGTGTGTGTGTGATTAAGGCAGCGCTCCTTCCAGCAGCTAAAGCAGCAAATCCAATAACTGGCCTCTATTGACTGGCACACTCATTAATTAGGGCTTAATACGGCTTAATGCTCGGGCACTGACACACACACACACACACACACACACACACACACACACACACACACACACACACACACACACACACACACACACACACACACACACACACACACACACACACAGATACAAAGAGGCTGAGGGCTCCAGCCGTTCCCTCCCGGCAGGTCGTGTGTGTGTGTGTGTGTGTGTGTGTGTGTGTGTGTGTGCGCGCGCGTGTGTGTGTGTGTGTTGGGGGGGGGGGGGGGGGGAGGGGGGAGCTCCCCGCTGACCCAGTGAGAGGACACCACCTGGTGGATCCCACGCATTACTGACACACACAGAGACGCAACACCTACACTGAAATAGTCCTTGATCGCCCCCCCCCCTCGCCCCCTCACACACACACACACCTAGAGAAGTACACCTGCACCAGCAGACAGAGTAAAAGCACGTTCTTTGCGGAGAGGCAGTTTGCAGTAATTTCCCCCGACAGAACCGACAATCAAACTGCTCACGATCGGCACGCCGAACCGCCGCGCTCTCCATCCACTGCTGCTACCGAGGAGATTAATTACACCGCCGCCTCTCCGTGCCGTACATCAGTCGTAGCCCACAGCTAGAGTGTGTGTGTGTGTGTGTGTGTGTGTTCAGGGGCACGCGTGTCCTAAAGGGAAAGTGCTAACGTCACGTTAGAGAGACGCTGACAGAAGAAGAAGATCTGGCGGCAGAGTGCGGCCCCGTCGCTCAGCGGCCCCACGCGACTGTGTGCGTTTCTACCGCTGAACAAACAAAGAAAATATTTACTGGACAGTGCATACATTATGAAAACGACTTGAGAAGCAAAGTCTCGCTGCATGTTCTCCAGATATAAACCTCTTTTTCTTCTCCTATAAATAAAGAGAAGAAAAGTTTGGATTTGAATGGCGGCTTTAATCAAAGAAAGAATTTACTCCCCTTTATGTGTAGCAGGCAGGGGGCCGGGGGGGGAGCAGAGAATTCAGGCAGAGGGCCTTGGCTTGCCTGGTTACAACAACACTGCCTGGGGCATGAAGGCTGCAGCTGCCACACACACAACCATATTTTGCCCAGACCCACCATCAGCACCCTCACACCTCAGCTAAATCTTGGCTAGCACACAACTGCACTCAAGAATGTGTGTGTGTGTGTGTGTGTGTGCGCGCGCCTAAAGGCCATGCCCCCCCCCCCCTCACCCACTCAACCTGCCATGCCAGTTGTTGCTCTTGCTAACGCGCACATTTCACTCGGGATCACGGTTGGTGACACTGTGTGTTTTCATCAGGATGTTCCCTCGCTGGGATTTCCTGTTCATTCACTGCTCGTCACTTACACATTGTTGACTGTCTGCCACTACGTTTAATGTATAATGTATATATATATATATATATATATAAATGTGTGTATGTAATACTGCAGATTTAACATGACCCTGTTCATATTAACAGATAAAATCAGCATTTAAATGATTTAATACAGATATATAAATATATATATATATATATTATATATACACACGTCTTGCGTTGCACACTAGAGACAGCAGACGTTTGTAAATATTTTACAGATTAAAATCTTCATTTCCACCGCATGAGCTGAAATCCATTTTATTTTGAGCAATTCTTTAAAAAGCATTTTCAGATCTCAGATTTTTTGTGCCGATGTAATTATTATTAAATAAATCTCAACACCATCTTCTGTCATTAACACTAATTGCTTAAATCAATATTTGAGCAGCATTATGCCCACTTAACTTTAAAGCAGAGAGGTTTGTCTGCTGGCAGCAGGAATCTTCATTCATACCTAATTACTAAAATACAAACATGTAGTGCATTATAGAATGTTAGTCATCGCCTCACGGTGAAGCTCATTACAAATTGTTGTGCTGATACAGTAACTTGATGGAGCGATAGATCTGCCCCTTAAATTTGAAACGATAACCACTAAATATCATCTTTTAATTAAGCTGCAAAAAAAACAACCACATCTGTTCCTTTACTTTTTTTTATATTTTATTTGTTGCTCTCATGTTTGTTACAGCTTGATATTTAGTGCTAAATGCTTTTATTGTGAAAAATGATATGTACTGATTGATGTGAGTAAAAATGTTTATTTAGGATGTTTATCAGGAAGTTTAGTAAATTATTAGGGAGCTAAATCCTTCTTTTAAATACCTGTTTTTTAGATGTCATCTATTTGATGTTCTTTGCATTACAGTTGAATTTCTTAAAATTTGTAATCTAATTGAATTCAACTAAAATCAAAGGTCTGCACTCAACGATGAAGTAATAAGTAAGCAAATAAGATACAAAGCCGGCTGATACAAGAGTAATTGATAAGACATTTAAAAATATCAAGCACTACAGTATAATGATAATAGTGTTATTAAAGATTCACATTACGTAGATGTTTCACAACAGAATATCATGTGAAATTTATATGTACACACACACACACACACACACACACACACACACACACACACACACATATATCATATATATGTTGTGTACCA